ATCAGCCAAAACGAACGGAACAAGGAAAACAGCACATGCAGATTATGAAGACACGGGAAGAACAGATAAAGATGTACGCCAGGAGGAAATTTCGGACGAAGACCTTGGCAACTGGGTCTTTGAAACATGGGGCGATGTCCAAACCTGTATCGAAGAACTGGCCACACTGGCTAACAAGATGTATGCTTTCTCCTCGACCACCAAAAACGTTCATAGGGAGGTGAAAAATTGGTGCGCTGAGTTGAAGCAGAAAACAGAGAAGGCAATCGATAGCAGCAAGGTATACCACCCCCACCTAGACAGAGCAAGTACCAGGATAATAGACCTCTCCTCCTCCATTAGGGAGCTCATCTTTCTGCTAAACCAGCCAAACATGTCCGACAAGGCATCCGCCACGGAACCCGAGAGCGTTAGAACAGATCCCAAAAGTGGCTATCCCACAACTGGACATATTGCAAACAGAGAGAAGTCACCCCAAAGAGGTCAAGCATCAGAGACGCAATCAGTACGAGAGGGGAAGAGGAAAAAATCCAAAATGAAACACGAAATTGCTGGTACACGACGGTGAAAAAACAAGACGCGCAACGAAACCATAATCGTTCGTCCTTCCGGCAAAACAACGTACGCGGACATGGCAAAGAAGCTGAAGGAATCCATCAACGTTGACACGATAAATGTCAGCGTAAGAGGCATGAAAAGATCCAGGAAGGGGGAGCTCATCCTCCAGTTGGACAAAAGCCCCATGCAGGAAGAAGCAGCGGGCAGATTAAAAGATGCAGTCGCCAAGGCACTGGGATCCGAAGCGGTGGTGGAACACCCTCTCAACACCACTTTAGTAGAGATTAGAGACTTGGACTCAATAACAACAGAGGAGGAAGTACTACGGGCAGTGGCCAACATTACGAGCACTGCTATGTACACGCCAAGAGTACTCAGATTGGTTCCCACATATGGAGGTAATATGATGGCGACAGTAAAGATGATATCCAGGGACGCCGCAACACTCCTGTCCGTAGGCCGCCTGGTGGTAGGCCTAGTGAGATGTAGAGTGCGGCTTAAAGCGCAGAAAACAAGGTGCTATAGATGCCACGGATTCGGCCACGTAAGGAATGACTGCAAAGGAAAGGACCGCACAGCTCAGTGCATGACCTGCGGCCAGCTGGAGCACAAAGCGAAGGACTGCAAGTCAAACCCCAGATGCATCCTATGCAAAGACAGGGGACACGACCACGGCCACTACCCGGGCAGTTCAACATGCTACGAAGCAAAGCTCAGCAATAACAAAAGTAAATAAATGTCAGCCTAGTTAAGCAAACTATTGTATACCGAAGGCAACCAAAGGAGGAGTAGGAGCCTCTATACGATGTACACTCCCATTATGCTGTAACAACCCATAGTTTAGTATTGTTATCTTGTTTTTTCAATAAACG